TTTAGTTTGCCCGAAGACCCTTTCCGCCTGTTCCCGGGATACGCGGCAGACGTCTTCCCCTGGGAGATATGGTGGTTTGACTTTCTTTTTCTTTTTTTCCGTTGCAACTTGCGATTCTGCCCCTTTTCTTAAGAGGAGACTGAATGGGTGTTGAAATGGGTGTTGAAATGGGTGTAGTGGAGGGTGTCATGCCAGAAGGCGTTCTCACCGGAGAAGGTTTTGAAGAAAGAGTTTTTGACGGTGAATTTGACAGAGATTTTGGTGGAGGTGGTCTAATGAAAATGTTTTTATTTGATGAAGGGGAAGACGGGGCAGAGGATAGGGAGCCCGGTGCCCCCAGCGACTTTTTATTTTTAACCCGCTTGGACTCTAGTGTTTCTTTCAATTTTTTTAAATCCAATATTTTTTGCCAGCTCGGCTCATTCATTTTCTGGGTTTCACTTGCGTTCTTTTCGTAAGACGCTGAGGCGTCGCCCTCAGAGCTGGTAGAGGAAATAGGGCTGTAGGTGTTAAAGTCCCTGGGGTCATGATGGGACTGAGGAACCGCTGTTTGGGTCTTCCCCTTGCCCCTAACTACGAGGCGCCATTCCCCCTCATCCTTCTCCTTATCCACACTTGTGGAAGGCGTCGGTTTAGGGGGTAATGTGGGTACAGACCCAACCGAGGGATTTTCCTCACCGGTCCGCCTCGCAGCTAGGCCCACTACAGGCGTCGCGGATTTAACCTTGTCGGCCAAGGGGATTTTTGGTCGCCTGCGACCGAACCCAGGGCCTTCTTCCCTGGGCAGGAGGAGGAAAGGTGACCAGTCTCTCCACACCTCCAGTAAGTAGGTTTCCCATAGGTCACAATGACCGGCATTTTCCGGTCGCCAAACACCAAACAGTTGGGGACGGACTTGAAGTCCTTCTGATCGAGCATAATATCAAAGTCCATCCCCGTTCAAATTGTCGGAGAAAGCCCCTAAAATTTGGCTGTACTGCATAAAAAAATGTAGCTAAGTGCTTCCCGAAATTTGAGGAGGAACCTCAAAACGGCCACCCTAGTCCTTCTGCGGCCTTCGTACTCTGTTCTAAAAATTAGATCTTTTGTTATTAATTCATTTTTAGCCATAGCCAGGCAATCTTCTGGCGTGGGCAGCAGAATGTCCCACATGAAAAAACCAGTACCCTTAATTACTCTTTGGGGTTTTATCCCCAAGGACAAAAGTGATTTAATCACTATGTCTTTCGTGGAGCGACAAATCTTGCGTGTTTTCTTGTTGACCACGAAAACGGACACCATTCTCTTTGCGAGCACATCGAGCTCTTGGACAACTTCGACCAGCCCATCTTTATTTACAAGATGGGCATAATTTTTCGCCTTTTCCAAGAAATCCGCCATGTTCAAAATGCAACTTGGCGGGTGTTCAGCAGGAGGGCAATTCCTCGGCGGTCTTAGATTGTGCCTCCTTTGGCACTTCGTCACTTTTGCTAGTATCTCCTTTCTTGGAGTTACTAGCACGTTCTAATTTGGGGCTATCATTAGCCCGCTTTTTCTCGGATTTATCCGGCGGGTCAGCTTTAGCAGCTGACCCAAAAAGGTCTTTCTTAACATTCGACCGACTGGCACCGTCGGCCATATTGGAACAGCGTGTAGACTACCACTTGCGGGTCTCTAAAATTTTTTCCAAAAACACGGGGAAAGGAGTTGGGAAAAGGCAAAAAAAAAAAAAAAGAAATTGAACAAATAAAAGAAAGCCTGGATAACCCAGGAAATTAAAATTTAAAAATAAACTAAAAGTAAAATAAAAGACAAACTAGATAAACTGAAAGAAAAATAAATAAACAGGTAATACTTTTTTTGAAAAAAAATAGAAATGGCGCCCAAAGGCAGCCGAAAATAAAAGAAAAAACAGAAACTCCTCTCTTTTTTTTCCAAAAATTCAAAAAATGTACAAAAAGGAAAAAGAAAAGAAAAATAAAAAAAATAAAGGTTTGCGGCCAAAGCCGCTAAAGAAAATAAATTAAAAGCAAAAGAAAAACAAACTAGTCAAACCAAAAAAAAGAAAGAATGCGACCGAAGTCGCTAATTAAATAAATAAGAAGGAAGGTATAAAATAAAAGGAAAATAAAAACAAAAGCTTTCTTTTTCTCTTTTCTTAAACTGTAGTAGATTAAAACAAAAACTGAAAAGAAATAAACAGAAATAAAAAAGCAGTCGTCCGGTAAGACTTTGTCAAACCGGACTAAAAAAATAAAAAATATGGGCCGAAGCCCAGAAAAATAAATTAAAACAAACAAAAGAAATGGAAAAAGAAAAAGAAAAAAGAAAGACTTAAACAATAACTTAACAGAAAGACTTGGTGGTTCGAATAAAGTTCGTCAAGTATTTGGAGCAAATCCTCGTGAGTCAAAACAAGTTCGTCACGCTTCAAAACAAAGTACACAATCACAAAAATTCAAACCGACTGGTCAGGAAAAAGTCAGAAAAAGACTTTGGACTGAACTCTCCGCTTCCTCTAGTCGCGCAGTGTTTATTCCGTATGGCATAGTCCATTATGTTATTATGGGTAAGGTCCCATAACATATATATATATATATATATATATAAATATATATATATATATATTATAGATTTTTCTGAAAACTGGTGCACGATAAAATTATTTGCCCTCCTTATGGAAGTTGCCCTCTGTCAATTGTAATGTTTTTCCTTAATTTGACATTTCATACAAATTCCATTTGAAAATGAAACAGTAATGACCTTATTCTCTAAACCTCTGAAAAGTAATGAAGAAGACAATATGTGAGTTCCTCGTACTGCGATAGCTCATTCATTCTACAACCATGTGGAAGACGGCTATACTTGAAAGAAGCTTCCAATTGAAGATAGTTGATGAGTACACACAGGTTGATGAATATACAATATTTACAAAAGTTTAAATGTCCTTTATTTACAATTCGTCGCAGTATCAAGAAGTACCACGATACTCATTGTGTCGAGAATAAATTATTGATTGTTAAATCTGAGAGAATGGAAAGGAACATTGTTAAAGATATCTGAAAGAGTCCTTGACTTAATGACAAAGGACGTTGTCAGTGGTGTAAAGATATCAGGGTTGAATATTTCGACGAAGATGTAAATAGATGCCTTAATTTAGCAGGAATCCGAGCTTCTTGCCCAAGGAAAGCTCCCTTGCTTATGGCTAAACACATAAAATGCAGATTAGCTTTTGTATGGAAGAAAGCAAATGAATCTCAGGACTCCAAAATACCCTCCCTACAATTAACTACGGTGGTCGGAGCATTATGCTCTGATAATGTTTTGCTGCTTCTGAAACAGGAGAACTAGCGAGAATAAAGGAAATCATGGATAAAAATTAGTATTCGATTATTCTTAGAAATAATATAAAATAGAATGCACGAAAGATGTCTTTGGGGTGTCTAGTGACGCCACAACATAACAATGACCCGAAACACACGACCCGAATTGTTAGAAAATACTTAGATAACAGCGAAATTAAAGTATTGGCGTGCCCCGCTGAAAGTCTTGACCTAAACACCATTGAAAATTTATGGACATATTTGAAGAAGATTAAGAGAAAGGATGACTGGAGCAAAATAGCTTTCAATCTGTGTAGTGATCTATCAAAAATGATTAAAGGCAATAGTCAAGATTAAATTGATAATTGAGGCAATAGAGCGAATAATATTGTCCTATGTTAAATGTTTTTGGTGTTTTTGTATTATTGTTTGATATTAAAATAATAATTTTATTGTGGGCATCACTGCACATACTTCCAAATCCATTGTTTTATCATTTGTTAAAAATGCACATGAATTTTCATGAAAATTTGAGGTTTTACAGCTTTATTGGTACTCACGGTAGGGGTCGGTGAAAACTTCTGTTCACAACTGTACGTATATATGTATACATACATACTTCTCCCGATAAAGATACATAATACTTTTAATGTAATTTTTAAGTTTTGTACCAATAAAAATCTGTTTAAATATTTATAACTAATACACAGTTTTAATTTAATTAGGAAATTAAATAAAATATTTGCTCTAAGAAACCCAAAAGAAACTTTATAAAAACTTTAACGCATAGGGCATTGATGATCTACTCAGAAGAGTTCTTCGATAGTGAGATCAGTTTAATAGCGAGAACTTTATGCGATAATGTTAATTTTGTCAATTCGGTTATTCATGAGAATATTGCTGACTTCATAATAATTAAGCCAGTTATTATGGCATTTAATATTTCCGTGGATTGGAGAAAATAGTGAAAACCTAACTAGGCAAACTTCTTTAAATTTGCAGAAGTGTTATATTTCTTCCGAGATGAGTGTTGGATTTCTTGTAATTACGTAAAAAACAGTATTATTGCTCAGACTTATTGCGCTCTGATATGTAATATTTTATTTAATTTCCTAATTAAATTAGATAGATTATATCTTCTAGTCGTATAGACGTTCTCTCCCCTCATCAAATAAGTTTTGTAGTTTATAAGAATGATTGTAACTACTCAGTGGGTTGATACTAGAATTGAACATTTTCCATTGAAAATCAGGAACCATAGCTAGCAAGAAAATGAACTCATCCGCAATACTTATTGTTCCTCAAATTGCAAACTTCTGATAAATATCAGAAAGTGTGCCATGGAAATTAGTGTGGATTGGTTCCCTCTAGAAAGTCGTTTGAATTCAGTGAAGTCTGACGAGGTCGATTTTACGTTTATTTTTTTAAGGTTGGCGGACGAACATTTCAAAGAAATTTTAATTAACGTTAAGTTAATCGTTTTATTTTTCGTTTTTTTTCTTTCTTTTATTTTATGAACGCTCTTGAATTTTTGACTTTCAGATTTTTCCTTTTTGTTTTAATACGTTTTCGCGTTTATTTTTTGGTTTGGGCAAACTTTTAAATTTCTTTTGTACATTTCTTTTTTGACGTTTAGTTCGTTTTGCCAAGTCTGAAGTTTTCTTTTGAGTCATTAACTTCCGGCAACTACGGAATATTTTATTCAGTTAAAAAAACTCTGGGAGCTATATAGGCATTTTTTTTCGCATTAATTGGCCGTGGAAAATACGGAAGAAACATCACCGCTGAAAAAATCGGCCTGGGAAGAAGGCAGACCCCAAAAGAATGCAAAATAGTATAACGCCCTAAAGGGATAAATATGATGCCTACATCAATGGAAATGAATTGATAACGATCCCAGATCTCTCTGATGACAACCGACGTGGAACACGGAGATTGATTGGTGTCAGTAGAGAGAGAGAGAGAGAGAGAGAGAGAGAGAGAGAGAAAAGCTTTAAAAAGTTTCCAAATTGGACCTAAAATTTTGACGAGAAGGACTAACGCTTTATGGGATATCCTCTTCTCCACAGAGAGAGAAGCGAAGAAGTTGGCTGGAATTACCTTATCCACAAAATCTATTCGGCTACAAAGTGAATATCTATGCACCCGAAAAACCAAAATAACCGTTTACGGTGTCCCGGTTGATATTAGTGACGAAGGGTTGGGCGCCTATTTTGCACAATTCGGTGAAGTAGAGGAGGTCTCAGCATCAATAAGCAAGGCGAGGATTGCCACTGGGGCTCTATGTAACCCTAACAAGGATGAGCTTTGGGGAGATCCCCAGCACATTAATATGTCAAGAGAGAATTACGCCAGTAGTAGTCGAGTGACGTCGCCCTTACTGTTGATCCTGTGGGGCCGTGGGTAACATGACAAAATCGTGTTTGAGCAAAAAGTCGGCACCACGGCCCAGCCAAACAGCAGTAGCTGGGACGGAAGCAGCGGTAATATCCGGCGAGGTCCCTGAAGGGACGAAAAACTCCAAGCCCTCCACGACAGCAAAGGGTCCCACAGCAATCAGATGGAGATAGATCGGAACAGGAAGAGCAGCCCCAGCTGCTGCCTCAGCCCCCTAAAGAGCAGCTCCAAGGAAAATAGGAGCGGCGACAAAAGAAAAATATCCATAAAGCAATTGGATCAACAACCGCAGAAGAAATAGCAAATCAAAAGAAAAGTAACATTCAGCAAAAATCAAGGAGTCTTCCCCCTTCCCCTTCCAGGAATGCATCCCCACTCCCTCCACATCCTCCCTTGGTTCAGTTACCACACACTCTCCCTCATCCGCTTCTTCCCCACCTCACCCTAGCAAGGAGAAGAAGGAAAAGAGGTATTTCCCCGGTGTAGTTACGCAAAGTATGTGTTCACATGTACGAAGCTTCCCAGATGTCCGTGTATTTGTAACGGGTTCGCCCGGATTTAAAAAGCTAAGCAGATTTTGTTCAGGGAGGATCCCTGTAATTCTCCACCTCTCGTTGAATAGAGCAGTAAAACTAACCTATCCCTTAGACGTTGGCGGTATTGTCCTGGATGGACGGATGACGTCGGAGATGGGAACAGAGAGCCTAGGACAATCCGTCTTTGTACTGCAGATTTCCGCCCGGTAAGTGAATAGTTTGAGGATTTTTCTTTTTTTCTCGTTCCAGAATAAAGATATACAGCTTGAATAGCATGAGGAATTGGTTTAAAGCTGCCCGTCTGCTTCGTGACCTCTTGTCGTTTGGAATGGATGTAGCCGCGATCAGAGTTCCAGTTTGCTGTCTAACGTCTTTGTCGTCTATTCAACATAGGGAGACCGACAGGACATAGGGTTTTTTCTTTGCTGGTTAAGCGTATACTGGATGCGAAGGTGGACATTGTTTATGTGGATACCGAGAGCCGGTTGATCGTGGCCGATATTGCGCTGAAAAGTAGTTCGGATCGTTGCGGTTTATGCGCCCAACAAACGGGAGGAGCAGGTCTCGTTTTTTTCGGCAATTGGGGTCATTCCTGGTGGATTCAACGCGCTTAGTTTTAATGGGGAACTGGAATGCAGTCCTGGAAACCAAGTTAGATAGGGCCGAGGAGCTAACAGGAGGATGGGCGATCATAGCTTGGTTAATCTGATCGGCGAGTTTGGTTTTGTCAATAGATACTGGGTCGATCACCCTTGGGGGAAGATGTGGACGTGGGCTCTTAATTGGCTTTCTACTCAGGTGTTTAGCTACCTGTTTGAGAGGCCGACGTCTGGATGGTTTTGCCTAATGAAATTTGCTGTTGCTCATCTTTGTCCGATGTTGACTGTCATATTCAACAACTGGTTCCACCAAGGGTCCGTCTTTTCATTATCAGAACAATCATAGTGAGTTTTCCGAGTTGCCGTAGCTTCGTAATCACCATTAGACTCATCCAACTTTTTCCGAATCCTGAGCTCAGATTTGCACAAAAACCCTCTGAAATGATTGAAGTGTCGATTCCGGCGGGAATTCCAAGCAGTTCTGTATGCTGTTTCCAAATTTCTGTCGGAGTGAATTGCTTCCTGGCACCTAACCGACCCCACTATACCTATCGCACCCTGCATATGTATATTTATGTGTATGCGTGTATATATCTGTGTGTGCGTGAGTTCGTATATGTGGGGCGGTGAATCTCCTATCGACTTGGTCACATGGGTCTTGGTCTAACTGAACTGGTAAAAGAAATATATGCCACGCAATTTTCCAACAGTCCTCCATCGGAGTTTTCTTTTTTCCAGGTTAGCTACCATTCAAGGCAATTTAATTAATTTTCATCTCCTATTTAACTGGAGGGCAGAAGAAAGATTCCCCTTTCCTTGACAACAACCGCATCACTACCACAGAAATACCCATGGATAATAAAAACAACATGACTGCCATATTACCATATCGAATATAAATATTATAACAGTGAACATAAGAAAAAAAAAACAAACATCATCAATAGATTTTCCATCAATTTCGGAAAAATCATATTAAATATATTTCACAACAAAAAATGACAAAACATAAGTTGAAATGTGAAGACGAGATACATGAAAGAGAAAGAAACAATAAGACACACACTACCACCTGGAGAGCCGATTCTCAAAATCCGCTAAAGAATTAAAATTCTTATCTGTTGATACAACCTCACAAATGTAGAAAACATTTTTTATAATGGTTTATGAATGCCGAAAGCGCCGAGGAGACTTTTGGTAATTAATATTTAAAAGCGGATAAAAAACTAAAAGAAAGCATTTAGAGAGAAAGAGAGAGAGAGAGAGAAGGAGAGAGAGAGAGATGGAAAGACAGACAGACAGACATACAGACAGAGTGAAATAGAAGTGAAAATATTTATTGCATATATCGATGCATCATGCAAATTATTTGGATTTAAATTTTAGTTCGAAAAACTAAAAGTTGTAGTTACAAACTAAAATGTGATGTTGATCAACACGATATGTCAACAGGATTTTATTCTGGAAAAGAGTATTATCCTGAAAAATATATAAACAGCGTGATATATACCAAGAAAATCATTTTTATTCCGATATCGCATCGAGTAAGAGAAACAAACATGCTATCTGTATAAAACCAACATGGAATATTTCACCTCTTAAAATTTCATTTTTATTCACAGTTTCTTTGCTGAGTATTACTGTGCTATTGACAGCTGATTGACTTTTATTATTGCAATTATTATGTCTTTTGTATTTTTGTCTGGTGTATTGCACTTTATTCGGAATTGTGATATATGCGCTTACCTTAAGATTTTATTTTATTTCCCTAGTAGAAGCCTATAAGCATAGAAACTGAATATGTGAATAACGTTGATCTTATATAGATGATTTGACTTAAATGTGGTTTTAGAGGGATTACTAAAGTTATAGGTTTTATGCAAGATAATGAATCATGGATATTCATTGTTGCATTTTGTGTATTTATGGATTCGTTTTTGATTACTTAAACTTGTTCGTATTTTTAGTGTATCTGCTTAGAGTAAGATAATGTTGGGGGTGTTCTTACTCTTTTCAGCACTCTTATGTGTTAATAAATTTCATTAAATACAGCTTATTTTTTCTTCAATGATATAATTCTGAAAGCCAATAACTGATGAGTGTTTGTTTAATATTATTAACTTTAGAAAAGGAAATTAATTTGAGTTTGTTAATTAAATAGTTACGGTATTTTTTATCAAAGAGATCTTACGCTAAAAGAATAAAGTAACAAAACACAAGTAAAACTTTCTATAGCATCACCCCAATTCGAGTAAAAGTTCGTTTGCTAATTACGGGAAATAACGTGATCTTCAGATCCTTTGTCACTTCTTCTTTCGTGGCCTCTGTAAATAGGCCAGTCGGGGAGGACGAAGCTTCTGTTATTTCTTGGGACTAAAGCTTTAGTTATATACAAGAACGACTTTTAGTTTATCTATTTATTTCTTTTATCTATTTGTTACATATAATTTCGTCAGTCCTAAATTTCGGTAGCTGAAATATTTTTATTTGATTTTGGTTATGGGATTATATATACTCTTGTAGGTAGTGTAGTAGAAAATTGTTTTTGTATCAGTGTCTGTCTCTGGCTCTGTCTCTGTCTCTCTCTCTCTCTAAATGCTTTCTTTTAGGTTTTCGTATCCGTGTTTGGAAATGAGAAGCGATATTCTGTTTAGTTTATCTTGTTCCAGAAAGATGATTATCTTTATTTTTTCATCTGTGCAAATATTGCATTACTTAAGTTGGTTATCTCTTTGCAAGTGTTCGAGCGTTCCAGTGTATAAATATCTGCAAATTTTTAGCTTCTTCGTTAGCCGTGTTTTCCTCCATATTTTATTGTAAGTCACAATGCTGCATTAGAGAAGCGCAATTATTTTGTATATATATCTGTTTTTGACCGTTTCTGCGAGACATACGTATGTATATACGATTTTTAGTATCATACCCACTTCCACAAATTTAAAAAAAATATCAACATCGAAAACATACGTGTGTGTGTTTGCGCGCGCACCAGTATAACTTGTTTTTCAGGTAATAAACGCTAACACAACAGCTACGAATTGATTGTTCCGCGTGGAGTGCATGATTATCAAAGCCTGTCATGATTCTTATAAACAATATTAGTTCAATTTTGCGAGACAGTTCCCTGTACAGGCACAAGACGAGATAAGCAATAAAAATTGGAATTTTCAATTAGCGTCAAGAAAAATCATTTATTCTAATTGGCCAGAAATATGATCAATCCATTTCTCCATAACTACAGGCTTCTGTCGATTTCATAACTCTCACCAGCAAGGTCATGCAGTTTCGCCTCAGATTTTAAAATATAAATTTTATTTGTTTATATTCTGTCTCCTAAACTACCAGCCTTTAAGAACACAGACGAATCTTCTGATCCTTCTAGCTATGGGCATATTCTGCCTCTTTTTGGCAAAGTTCTAGAGACTCTATTCAACTCTGTATGGTTTAAGTATCTTACTTCGCAGGGTCTTCTTTCAGAGAAGCAATATGGCATTCGCTTCTCTGGGTCAACTCCTGATGTGTCAACTGTTATTGCTGAGCATCAAGCTTTAGATAAGAATGGTGAAGTTCGGGCATTTGTTTTGGATATCTCAAAAGCATATTGGCCCTCTTCATAAGTTGGAAGGTTATCGTATTTCTGGAGGAATTTTTAAACGTATTCAGTCCTTCTTATCGAATCGCGAAATGAAATATGTCTTGAATGACCACTCTTCTAGATCATTTTACATTAATCAGATGTCCATCATGGCTGTATCCCTTGTACTGAGTTTGTTCATAAATTTCAACAACTTTCTGATTATATTGATTCTCAACTTGATATCTATACTCATGGCACAAACATTTATTCCTGTCTTAGCAAATCTGATCGGTTGGATAAGGTCAAATTGGCAGCTGATCTAAAAATCGATCTAGTTTCTGTTGTTAACTGGGGAATGGAATGAATTGTTAATTTTAATGCCCCCAAAAAGAAACTGCTCTATTTTAATCGTCTCAGATAAATCTTTTACCTTCCATTAGCATGGTTGATGTTAACATCCAGAAGAGCAATTCATCGTGCTTTCTCAGACTAATATTTTCCACTGATATGAAATGGAATTATTATATCGAATCAATTTCTAGTTATGCTGCTAGGGAAGTTTGTCTCCAGTATCGTGCTAGACAATTTCTATCGCTAGAATCTCTCTTAGATATTTATAAGTTTACCATTTGTCCTTGATTTGAATACTGCTGTCATATCTGGTTTGATGTTCCTGCTATACATTTAGATATTCTTGATAACATCTAACATACAATATTATTGATGCTGACCTGATATCTCGGTTTCAGTCACATTCCAATCGTCGTAATGTAGCTCTCCTGTGCCTTTTTTATAAATAGTATGTTCTGATGAACTTTTCTCTATACTTTCCTCTTAGACTTTATGTATTGAAGCACAGTTCTATATTTGCTGGCAGCAATTTCCAGTTAAAAGTGGTTGCAGAATGGTTAAAAAAAAGACATATAGAAATAAAGATACACGCTTTCAGCTGCTGTTTATATAAAAGAAAATAAAGCAATTTTGTTGGACACAAAATCTTTATACATCAACGAATGATTTTCTCTGAGAAAAAGATTCAATGTCGACTTTGATATCCCCATCTAAGAATACCACATTAATTGTAATTAAAGCGACTCGAAGGGTTTAAACATTGATGTAGTCGTTTATTTTCGACTACAGGTTATGATTACATAACTTATAAATTTTGTTAGATTTTTAAAATTTATCATGAAAGATACCAACATTGTTTATCTCGAATTAAACTGTTTTACTTCCATCTATTTTCTAGTTGTGATGTAAATGCTAACAGGAATATACTTTGAGGGGAGAACATGGCTGTAATAAAAGACACAGAGTAACCTAAATTAAGTTTTATTCGACTCGATAGAAGAGTTAGTACAAATAAAACTATTTATAAGCAGGCACAGTCCATTTTTGACTATAGGCGGGGAGGAAGAGAATAAATATTCACCACAATCTCCCCTACTTCTAGAAATAATTAGTAGCAGTTAGTCAATCAATATTAAGGAAAGATTATATCCTAGCATGATTTACTTTAATTTTTTAGTATCTCTTTTATAACCCTCTTCAGCGGGAGGGTGGTGGGGGAATTCGGAGTGATACTGTGGTTTCGAAGCCGTTTTGGAGGAGAATGTGCGCATAACGAGGATTGGCTTCCGCCTCCTCCGCAATAGGGTCGTACTTGGATTGTCTGGCAGATGTGCTTCGCAAATGTGGAGCTGAGTTCATCATTTTCAGACCGGCACGACTAGTAATTGTCGCCTGACGTATTTCTTTTGAACTTAAATTTCCGTGTACGTTAAGTCTGTTTTTATTTTACTTTTTCTTACGTTCTATTTTTACTGATGCTTTTGAAAAAGTTTTTGATTTTTTCTTTTTCAATTTATTACCCTTTTCCTTTTTTTTTCCCGTTTTTTGCTCTTATTCTGTTAATTTTCTGTAACCCCTGCCAGAGTATCGTTTTATTTTTCGTACGACTTATTTTTCTTTGTTTATTTATTATGCGTTTCTTTGTCCATTGTTTTTCTTTTTAAGTATCTGTTAACTCTGTGTTTTATTTGTTAACCCTTCTGTGTGCATATTTGTTTTAATTTATCGTGCTTATTTTGTCTATTCTTTCTGTTTTTAATTTCATGTTTTTCGTTTGTATTTGGGTTGACTTGCATTTTCTTTCTACGGAAGCCATATTGATTTTGTGATTAGTTACGTATTTTATTGTTTCGTATTCTCTTTGCGTAGTATTTTATTGTTGTAGTATTTAAAAAAAGAGACTTATTGTTTTATTCCTTTGAGTCTTCGTACGTATAACCGTTTTTTGTGTGACGTTTAAAGGAAAGTTGAGATTGTTATCTGTCTGTGTACATTTAATTCTTCGTTTTTCTTTCCTCAAAAATTTTAACGTTTTCTTGTCTGTCTTTTGCGTAAGTTTTCTTTTTAAGTAATTCTTTTTGTACGTCCCACTCTTTTGTGATTTGTCTTGTAAAATTTGTTTTCCTTACATTTTAAAGAAATTCATATTGTTTTGTATTTATTTTTATTTTGTTTAATTATTTTCATTTTCCGTTTTATGTGAAAAACGAAACACACACACACACATACACACACAAAGACCCCCACATTGTTAAAAAATGGTACGAAAGGATCTTTTTCAGTGATGGAAAAAAACAAAGCTCCTCGAGAAAAAAAATGAAAAAATGATGAATAAATGATTGATGCCGAGAAGAGCCAAAATTTACTTGAAAATGCAGATTCCTGCAAAAGTCTGGCTCCAGAAAACGACTCAAATTTGAAGAAATCGAACATTTTAGAAAAGTACGGTTGCCGAAAGAACCCAATATTCACTGAATGAGATCAAAGATACAGATGAAAACAAGGAAGAAAATGGAGCGGTCGGAGAGACGCCCTCTTACTGGACGTCTCCACTGAAATGTAAAATCAACATTACGGAGTTCCTGGAGAAAGCCAAGAGTTACGCACATCTGGTCACAGCAGATGGGCTCTTGCCAAATCCCAAGGAACTAAATAAAGTTGATTGAAGATTTGTGTCTGTCTTTGTTGTGGATGAGCACTCGCGCCAAATTTGAAGCTCCACAAAAGACACTGTAATTAAAGCCTTGACTTCTCTGGGCATTAAACCTGAGAGAGTCATGAAAGAGAAAGGCTACTTTATGTGGAACATACTGTTGCCGACACCGGCCGATTTCGAAGTTGAAACAAGGAGGGAACTTATTTCAAAAGACCTTATTCTGCGTACTGAATATGAAGGCTGGTGGAGGACCATTGTAGCAGTATATGTGATTCCACCTCAGATCGTCAGGGATCACTTGGCTACCTATGTATGTAAGTTTGGACAGATACTCAGTGCTTCCTCTAACGATCTGACCGGGGAATGGAGTTTTGACATTATGATTAATCGGAAGGCCTTCATCTCCATCCCAACTGTCTGGATGAAAAGGGCCAGAGAATGCCTATAATAGTCACCGGGCGAAGACAAACATTCTGGAAGTGTCGACAGACTGGTCACCTGTCCTCTACCTGCTCAGAGAAGAAGACCTCTGAAGTCCTGAACCCCGCCCAAACAAATCCCCTTTTGGTTGAGTCTGTACATTCAGTCACGCCTGTAATGAGCATGTCAATGATCGGGATCAGCCCCCATTCCCCGAAAAGCCTTTGCCCGCCGCTTGTGAGGTTGCGGAGAAGAGAGAGGGGGAATTAGCAGATCGTTAGCAGGGCGAAAGGGAAGTTGCAGGCAGCGGGACGTCGTTCCACACAAACAAGGAAAGATACACACAGTCCCACTCCCTCCATAAGCGCGAAGGGTGACTGTCCGACCAGCAAACTACGTAACTACTTATGTAAGAACCCAGTGTCGAGAAAAACGAAAAGCTGAAAAAATTAAAATAACTCTCTAACAGAAAAACGTTTGCAGGATCTAAAAATAACTCACCCTTCTTCGTCTCCATCATCCCCAACATACAAGCAACAACTACTGACACCACCTCCTTGACAAAATCCCCGTCCCCCCTTCCAAAATGACTACTCTTACAAAAGCTCACAGTGCCAGAAAAAATCTTACCCCTACCACTCCCCATACCCCTAATCCTTCTCCTGTCCAAATCCCCATCAGTTCCCCTCTAAAAACGAAACAACGGCAAAGAAGTCCATCAGCTGATGCCATTGAATTTGTTTTCAGGAAAAAAGGCCCCAAAACTAATTTTCATACTGTGGAAAATATTTGTGTGATAACAAAAGACAAGAGAAGAAATTAGCTTCTCAATGTGAAAAAATAAAGATTTGAAACATCTTATAAAATTTAGAAAAATATATAATCTCGATGTAGAAAAACCTAGCAATTTTCAAAGTGCCAAGAGGATATTAACTTTGACCAGGAATGGGGCCCTGGGCTATGGTGATAGAGGCAAACCTGGTCTTTGGCATGGTACCTCTAATTGCCTTCTTTGATAATGACAATGTGAAAAAATCAAATAAATATTGTTCTTGTAGGCTTCCGCTTTTCATTCGTCACTCCCTTTATAGAGCCCTAAAATTAACTTTTTTCCTGGACATTGGCGGCTTGTCTCCTGATGGCTCCATCAGGACTGAGATTAACACAGGATCAATGAGGCCGTCGGTGTCCCAATCCCGGTTATGTCCAATGCAGGAGAGCAACCCAAATCGGTTTCATCATAGATCTCTGGTTAGCAAGTGTGAATGCCCGAGGTTGGAGTCTCGCATGGGAGAGCCTTTCTCGTGACCTTCAGCGCTTTGTTGTGTGCAAGAGACTCGCTTTTCTTCCGTCATTACGAAGACATTCTGTCTTGTGATTTTTCCCTCTATTCAGCTTGTTTTGATGGACCATCGAGGAGAGTCTCTAGACTGGTGAGAAAGTCTTTCAAGTCTGTATGTGTTCTTGTCTTCGCAGATCCGGCGGGCAGACAATTGCGTGCTGGATGTTACCATAAAGGTTAAGTCTCTTCGTCAAATTGGGGTTTATGCGCCCAATGTCCTTTCTGATCAGCCTGCTTTTTCGGCAAATCGCACCGTTTTTGACCACATCTCGTCGGGTAGTTTCAGCGGGGATTGGAATGCCATCCTTGACCCCGACATAGATCGTATAGGGTCAAATTCGGGTACCGACAACCGGGAGGTGAAACCATTTCGGGACTTTATCGATAGGTTTGATCTTGTCGATAAGTACCGGAATGAACACCCTCGGATTAGTGTGGACTTGGACTAATAGTGGCGGATCAGCAACAGATGTGCATTCTAGCTACCTCGACCGAGTCTTAAGAGAGTCGATGTAGGACTCTTAGGGTGTCCAAGTTTCCATTATATAGTTTATTCGGATCATAGGCTCGTCCGGGTCCAAGTAAAATTAGATAAGCCTCAGGTTAAGATGGCTGGCTACTGGAAATTGAACACATCATTATTTGGTAGGCAAGATTTCCGGAACCAGCTGTTTTTAATTATATAGAGGGAACTGACGGGGACTGTCGTTGGGAATGCCTGGTGGGATAACTTAAAATTCCAAATTAGAACGTTTGCTACGGATTATAGTCGTCGGCTCAATATAGATAGGCGTAAACGGCTTGTGAGCAGAAAGTTGCTCGGACAATCAAATCCCGTGTTAGTGGGGACGTAGCCTTTGCTAAGGCAGAGTTGGCCTCCTTGCTTATCAAGAATGGATTAAACTCTGGTAGTTATGGCTAGGTTAAAAATATGTCCTCTGAGACGCTGAATTGCGTGCAGAGGAAGATCGGAATGCACCTCAGCGACATATCGCGTATGTCACATTGCCGAATAAACGCACCGTGACTACAGACGCGGGTATATGTGAGGTGTTTCGTGATTACTTTCAGGAACTTTTCACCAGGGAGCCCGGTCTGAGACCTGTTTAGTTCGACGCCTATTTAGCTGACTTTCCCTGCCTTGAGGCAGCTGAAGCGGCTAGGTACGAGAGTTCCATTACAGATTCGGAAATATGGGATGCGCTGAAGCAGGTTGGCCTGGACAAATCTCCGGGATTAGATGGTCTCCCCTATGAAGTTTACTTGAGGCAGTCTCCCGTTTTTATTCCCTTGCTAGCACTGATTTTCGGCAAGTAGATGATGCAGGGTTCTATACCCCAACGCTTCACCAAGGGTGTGATCAAGTTGTTACGCGAGGATAAGAACGGTGGGGATGGGTTAGGGAACTTTCGCCCTTTAACAATGTTAAATACATAGTAAAAGATTCTGGCTAAGATCTTATTCAACCGTTTGCAGTCTGTCCTGTCTAGTTAGATTAGCTCCGAACACACATGTTCTGTGAAGGGCAGGACAATTCAGGACAATCTTCATATGGTACGCTTGATCATTGCGCATTTCGACAGTGAGGCCGCGCTGATCAGTTTATATCAGTCCAAGGCCTTCGGTAGGGTTGACCATCGGTTTCTGGAGGCTGTCCTTTCTGCGGCCGGTTTCAGGCCATACTTTCACACTTATGCGATACCGGTGCGCTGGTGTGAATGAATTGGGTACGATCAGAATCTTTCGGATTGTCTCGCTCCATTCGTCAAGATTGCCCGCTTTCATCTTTGCTTTACGTTCTTGCGCTGGAACATTTCCTTCGCAAGTTAAAGACGAATACAGCCCTACGCGGAATTTCCCTACCTGGTACTGCCACCTCGATAATGTATTTTTCCTATGGTGATGACGTTTCGGGTCTTGTGTCGAGCAGAGCCGAAGTTA